CACAGTTGGGCACGAGCAACGCAACGCCCCAATCGCTGCCATGAAGAAAAGTCTGCGACGGACATCTAGACAGGCCTACATAGTTATGCTTGCGTATCATGTCCTAATTTTTAATATACGAGCCCACTTTAGAGCGGATACGGAGTACAACGCATTGAAGGGGAAGGACTATGAGATTGATACGTGGTACTTCCAAATCAAACGGCTGAAGTGTGCGTGCTGCTCCGAACTGAATATGGACGGGGCACAGGCACTGAACAGTACTGAGATACAAACCACGGAGACGGAGCAGTAAAATTGGATCAAACGTGTGTGTCCTCTGGAGCTCAAATTGAAATGAGCGACATCAATCAAGTCTCCAATTGGGCTCATCTCTGAATCTGAGATGCAAAACTGAGCTCACCAATAAACTTTATGTTTCAATTAAATTTTATCTGCACTTTTCAATCCAATTTAAGGTCGCAAGTAGCCGGGCCAAGCCACACGGGCTGGGCTGTGGGATGGGACCAGACGGGAGGGACTGGCCCCAGAATCAATCGTTCTCAGGACCCAGGTTCCAGAATCCTCCAGCGATGCATGAATTTTGACCCTCAGAAGCACGGCTCCGGTTGTGCTGTACTGCATCCTTATGGTATAACTTGTACCTCACTCGTACATCGCTCCCGTCGCGGCTGACAGAATCTCTGCCGAGTACCCGGAGGGTATAGCTTTGTTGATATCAACATTTGACATTTCCCACATTGTGGTATATGGGGAGCATGGTAGGCATGGACTCACTGGAGCAGTGTAGATTCTACACTGTAGACTGATGTGAAGAGGCGGGGACGGCTATTGATCATGACTGCCTCATACATGTGATGTAGTCCACAGTTTCATACTGGACGGGGTAGGAATTTTCGTATCCAAATTGGCCAAAACCAGCAACTTTGCATGTCTCATGACATAATGATACTACCAACAGTGCCCATCTAAATTTGAGACGTGATGTAAATAATAAGATGAGAATATTACATGTGATCTCAATATGAGATGAGAATACTATATTTGGTCTCAACATATCACGTAGAATTTGGAGCTCATGTCAATTTTCAGGCCAAGGATTGTTTTGTTGAAATGTGACCTCCACTCGAAGAGTGACAGATCTATCATCAAAAATATGGCCCAATATTGTAAAACGGACATAAGAGGCAGCAAGATCAACTGCTCATTTGGGGAGCATGCTGGGACTTGAGGCAAAACATTTCCCGCCAAAATATGGAGTCTCCCTGGTAAGTCGATAGTATCTGTAGGGGCATCCAGATTTTCGAGAGCTCGACACTTGGGTTCCCAATTCCGAATATGCTTTGCCTACAGTATGTTCTGCGCACGGTACTGATCTTCGACGCCAGCTTCAACAACAGCTACAATCCGCCGGAGATCATTGCATTGACTGCCCATAACATCGACGCCAGCTTCAAATATACCACTCCTATCTTGTGGAGAGCACTGCAATCTGCGTTTACAATTCGGATCGGGCGAGCTGTGTATGCCTCCCAATGGATGCAGTTCAGAAAAGAGCGTTTGATGCATTCTGCAATGGGGAAAGTATTGCCCTGATTGGATCTGCAGGTTCTGGGAAATCATTTCTCATCAACAAAATGCTAGAGTGGGCGAGAAGGCAGTATTCGGAGGATGCCGTCATATCCTGCGCATTTACCAACAGTGCTGCAGAATCAATAGCAGGGAGCACAATTCACAACACTTTCAATGCCCTTCCGTCATGGAGATTTACGAATGAAAGTTTGTTACAAAGGGTGCTGGCGAAGAAAGCCACGACAGACAGAATTATGCGAATGAAAGTTCTGGTTATTGATGAAATTTTTCAGCTAAAGGCATGTGAGCTAGATGCTATTGAGTATGTTGTGCGGGTATTGACTCATTCGGAGAGGGATGCCGCTTTTCCGTTTGCTCGCAGGCAAATTATTATTTCAGGGGACCCGTTGCAGTTGGAACCCGTGAAGCTCCTCGAAAAAGGAAGAATTAATCTGTCGGCGTACGAAGGAAGAAGCTGGCATAGGCTCTTCGGCGGGGATGGGGTAGGCCTTATTGCCTATTTGACTGCGAATCATAGACAGAAGAAGGACAGAGACTTTTTTGAGTTGTTGACAAGGATAAGAGGGGGAAGGCATACTCAAAAAGACATGATGAGTCTCAACTACACCAGCCATGGCCAACACGAACCATCACTTGGACATGTGCGCTTGTGTTTGCAGAAGAAAACCGCCAAGAAAATTACGATGAAACGACTGGGAGTGCTAAGATCCCAACTCGTTGTATCCCGGAAGTTTGATACTTTCTCCGAGAATGGGCTTCGGGAAGTTGCGACAGGAGGTATCAGAAAGCGGCTGGACGAAGCAATACCGCAGGAAATTCTTTTGAAGCAAGGTGCTAGGGTCATGCTTACTCGAAAAATTCGAGACTTGCTCCCTGGAACAATATGTGTAGTGCAGGAAATCTGGTCCAGACCTCTCAATATGTCTCTCAATCTGGACGGAAATCAGATTCGAGACGGCCTTCAAACTCATAAGGAAATTTTGCTCAAAGTTGTTGTAGTTTCCAAAGCCGACAACGCGACGAAAGAGGCTATAACTTTGGACCTTCGCTTCATGAAATTTGAAGTCTACCGAGATGATGGAACAATTCTGGCTACTCGATTCCAACTTCCAGTTATTCCAGCATACGCCCTGACAGTTCATCGGTCACAAGGTTTGTCGTTCGATCAAGTGGCAATAGACTTCTCAGAGGTGAGGAATTGGATGCCGGCAGGAGGAGCATACGTCGCTCTGTCCAGATGTCGCTCAAAATCTGGGCTATGGGTAAAAGGAATGCATCAAAAGTGTGTAGTGACTAGCCCACGAGCACGAGCATTTGAGAAATACATTGAGAAGATTGCTGAAGTACACCCACATCGCATTATTAGGAATAACAACTCACAGAAAATATGGCGCGACGAAATTCCGATGCCGACGACTGCCAACGCACTATGTGTGCGATCTCCAGTTAAACTGGGGGAAAAGAGAGAAACAGAGAATATGGGGAACAAAGATGTTTATGGAGATGTTCAAGATATTCAAAAGCACTGGAAGAAGCACCGTACACAGTAGCATACACGAATTAGCCGAGTTTTCAAATTTGGAGAGCAAGAAGAAAAGAAAACAAAGACGATGAAGGACATTTAAAACATTAGAAAGGTGCTAAATCAAAGCATATGCTCCTATCTATTGTTTCAAACATTCCCTGTAGTCAAGTGGTGATACGGATCTTCACATTTTTCATTGTCATAGAGTAATTTATCAACAGTAAACTAATGCCATGACATTCAAAGTTGTACCTCAAACATGTCCTTCTAATCAGTACATATCAAAATTACACTGCACAAAACAGAAGAAAGTGTAATACGACTCGCGTTGCTTTGTTCAAATGTTCGCCAAGGTTAAAAGCCCTTGTCATGTGCTGAGAAGTTTCCAAATGGATAAATACGCAATTGCCGGAGGCAATCTTAATGTAATGTCCTTCTAAACAGAACATCTCAAAAGTACACTTCCCAAAACCGAAAAAAGTCTAATACTCCGCGCATTCATTTTCTCAAATGTTCGCCAAGCTTAAATTCCCGTACCATGTGCTGAGAAGTTTGGAGGTTTAAAGTTCTTTGCATGTATTGATTGTACAGTACACACATTGTGGATTGAATTGATATAAAAGAAGAGCATTGCAGCAAGTGGTCAGGTACTGACCTGACCGCATCTATTTTGACCTTACTTGAGGAAGTTAGAAGCGTTGCAGTTGGAGTTTTGTAGGGACAGAAGAATAGCCGAATGTTCAGAACTGGTTTCGGGGGCCTTCAAAACGTGGCCACAACACTTACCAAGTAGATAACTATGCAGTTGCCGGAGGCAAGCTTAATCGATTGTCCTTCTGAACAGTACTTCTGAACAGTACTCTCCACCAAACAGAATAAAGTATAATTCGCCAAGGTTAAAATCCCTTAACATGGACTGAGAAGTTCGGAAGTTTGAAGTTCCTTGCAAGTTTGATTATACAGAACATAAGTTGTGGATTGAATCGATACAAATGAAGAACATTGCAGCGAGTGGTCAGGTACTGACCTGACCACATCTATTTTGACTTTACTTGAGAAAACGGGAACCGTTGCAGTTGGAGTTGTGCAGGATCATGAGCATTGCTACATGCCCAGAACTGGTTCTGAAGCCTTCAAAAAGCGGCCATTTATCATGCGTGAAGGCCGTCAATCCTGAGCAAAGTTGCTTGTCATAGGCCATCAATTCTGAGAATCGTGGAATATGCATACGTGAAGGCCATCAATTCTGAGCAGAATTGATGAGCTCTATTGCACTGTTGGCGAGGGGCGGGATAAAAGGTCTCATAGACAGTCTCGAAATCCAGATTTAAATCTGATACACAAAAAAACGTTCCCGAGACCATCAAATTACCTACCCATTTTCAATTAATTGATGACCTTGGCGGCCTGCGTTGAAGGGGTCTTCCACAAGTGCTGTTTAGGCCATCAATTTGGAGGAAAATTGATGGGCAGGGCAGGGGCATTTGGGGCGATTTTGATTTTGAAGTGCTGGACTTACAAGTGATCTTAATCTGAAACAGGATTAGTGCAGTTCATCTGAATTTGTTATGATTAACTCCAAATTATCCGATTGTCTGCGTCCTGCTTATAATTGTTTCAATTTCTCTCCAAGCGACAACAGTAAAATTTTCTGGTCGCTTCTGCAAGTAAAAGAAAGCTATTTATTTTAAGCGAATTTCAACGTGCTCCTTGTTACACCGCTGTCCTTGCCCCCATGAATCGGGGTGAAATGGATCACCGGAGGCGTCGTCGTCGTTCCACATCTTGCACCAGTGCCTAATCCTGCCAGTTCCAACTCCTATTCCAGGCAGAGGTTCAACTTCAGTGTGACTTTCTAGGGATGCCTGCGTTACTCCGTGTGATGTTCTCGCTCTGTAAGTCCTTGAAGCACTTATCATATCTACTCCCCACGCTTCCTTTCCCCCTCCTCCCCCCCTCTCTCACTCCTTCCTTTGCCACCCTACTTTCTCTTCAATTGTTCCCCTATCATACCTCTCTCCCCCCCACAATTGATGGTCTCGAATTTCCCATATTGCCGGCTGACGAGAAACGAAATTGCGTTGGACGGCATCACACGCATTACTTCAAAGTAAAGGTAGGTGGCCCTAATTCTTGGCCAGTGCCCCTAATCATTTGGCCACCTTGTTTGTTACGTAATAATAATCGAAATTATAATAATTATGCACTCTCGGTCCACACAATGGCCCTTCTCATCTCTTCTGAATGCGGTTGTGCCAAAACATGTAGTGGAATTCAAAAACAAATCAGACCAATCGATTCAGCTGTGTCCAAAACAGCGGAATACGATCTATCAGATCCTAGATCCTCATGAATACAGTGAGAGGGCGGGTTTCTGGGATCAATGTCGCCAAAACCCCGCCTTCCCATTCACAAGCAGGCATCAAACTAGAATAGCTGCCCCCCTTTCAATCTTCCCCCACTTTTCCTTGTTCCTTCTCCTCAATTTGCCATCCCTGCGATAGCATAAGACGACATTATGAGCCGTCCGCATGTACCTCGGCGCCGTGAAGACCGCAAATGTCTTGCGGTTCAAGAGTCCCGGGCAGGGCGTATGTCCGCAAGAGATGCCGCAAAGTGGTTTCAAATTTCTCGGTCCACAGTCCGGTACGCCGCAGAAACGCTAAACAAAACAATTACGAAGCAGGCTGGGCGACCATGCGCGCTAACTGATCAAGAAGAGAAACCAATTCTCGCTCTCCTTACTGATTACGCAAACAAAGGAATACTGATGGACTCCCATCATGTGAGACAGGCCGTCGCAATCATGGTGTCTCACATGACGCCAAAAAGACAAGCGTTACTGCCATTTCGCGAGGGACAACCGGGTAGAAAGTGGGTACAAAACTTCATTAAGAGGCACAACAAACTCGTCAAATTTTCCAAACCAACAAAGCAAGAAGCCGAGAGATTCGACGCATGTAGTGGGGAGGTCTTGGCTACGCATTTTGCTACTGTTGAGAGAATAATTGCTGAATACGACATCGACGCTGAACGTATGTGGAATTTGGACGAGTGTGGAGTTACACCTGGCAAGGATGTCAATGCCAGGTCAAGATCAAGAAAAATGATGCCTCGAAGTTGCTCCCAAGACATAAAAGTCCCCCGCTTCTCGTACGACAAGAGAGTAACGATGATGCCCACAATATCCGCAGCTGGCAGTACAGGGCCATGTATATTCGTTTTTAAAGGCAAAAGAATTCCTTTCAGGAATGTGTTGCGTCATGGAACTGTGGTGTTAGAAACACCTTTATGCGTACAACCGCGGTGTTCTCTTGGTGCACTGCGTGAGGAGTGCGGAGGCGTTGATCAAACGAATTTTCTCAACTGGGCACGCTGTTTTGTGGACAGTGTTAGCGATTTGACAGCAAATGGGAGGAAGCTTCTGCTCATTTATGATGCTTTCCGCTCTCATTTATCACTTGGTGTTCTACAGTTGTTTCATAAAAGCAACATCATCGTGTACGCTTTGCCCGCCCATACCAGCGGGAAGACACAACCGTTAGACGTGGTAGTGTTCAGTGTGTTTAAGCGAGAACTGAACAAAGTCATGAATTCAGTTGCTACAAAGGAGGAAGTTGAGAGTTGGGATGTCTTTAAATTGTGCATGCTAATAAGGCATGCATATGAGAAAGCATTGTCTTGGGAAAATATCAAGGCAACATTTTGCAGAGCGGGATTATGGCCTCTCGACAGTCGGAAGCTCCTATCTGTTCCACGCCCAGCCGCGCCTGGCAGTTTAGAAAAAATACTGGATAAGGGCCAGTTAGCTGATTTATTTGAAAAGAAGAGGGCAGTGCTAAGGGAACAAGTGCTTGGCGAAGAAGCGGTTCTACAGTCAAGGGGATATGTTGACTCTACATGCGGCCAAGTCATGACGTCAGCGAATGCCCTGACTCTGATTGAGGCGCATGTCAATCGCAAAAGACGTGCCACAGCGTCGGCGAAATTGGTCGCCAAGCAGAAGGAATTGGTGGAACAGAGGAACGTAGTGGCGTGGGAGAAAAGGAGGGCATTGCTGCGAGAGTTTGTGGAGCTGAGGAGGGCAAACCAATGTGGGGAATCGATAGAAACATATAGAAATCATGTGCGACCTCTCGGAGAACGACGGGCTTCTGCCAAAATTAATGCTGCACGTCGCGCACACGATGCTGCAACAGGCGGTGGTGGATCGAGTGAGTGACGTGGACCCAATAAACGTTACATAATTTTGGCAGTCCACCGAGCCAATTCCGATCAGTGACCGATCTTTAGGCACTTTTTGCCAAATTTCCCTTGCTTCAGTGTGGAATGTTGCCTGTCACCTTTCTTTAGTGGCGTTTCGCTTTAGCGGAAACGATTGGTGGACTTTGATAGAGCTTCAAGTCACGATTCCAACGGTCCAGAAACCATGTTCTCCGGCCCTCATTTCCTAGTTTTGTTTTTTAAATTACTACCGGTGGCCAAGAATTAGGGCTACCTACCTTTACCGGGTTGTACAAGTGAGGAAAGAGCCGGAGGAGGTCGTGTAAACTTTACGTCGATCAGGGCGCTTGTATCGCCGGATGCGGGGCCCGAACGGATGGTGACTCTGGTGGCGTTCGCGCCACCATGTCCGTACGCGAAAGACGTGGCAAGCCCTCCAGGGTCTATCCGACCAAGCGATGTCATAACATAAAAATCCGCGAAACTTATCTATTTTTCTTCGATCGGTTGAATCGTTTTAAATTTTTTCTCGGGTTACAACGGACTAGAAAACACTCTACGTAATGCTTCTATGCCACTGTTATGAAATTAGCTCAAAGAAAAATGCGTACTGTGAGCCAACTTCTACTTTTGAACGCCATTGAAGAACGGCCTAGTACAGAAGAGGAAAATGAGAAAAGGGGAGCAACAAATCCTTCAGCGTACGGTCCAACGTAATATGGGTGAAACAAACAATGGTTTGCCGAATTACTGTAGACTGTACTTTTATAGTCGTGAAGCACTGCAGAGGAGATCATCAGTGCCACCGCAACTACTGTACTTCGACAAACCACGGAAAACGGATGAAGTCAACACTGACACGTGATCAATTGAACGCTGCCTGTGGCAACAGGCTACGATTATGCGGTTGTGATGGTGCTACACCCACAAAAGGCAGCGTTACATGTGTGCGAAGATATGGAGAGTACAATGTCTTGGGCTAATAACAGCACATAGATAACAAGTTAGGGTATTCTAAAAAATGATCATGAGGTTTGTGCTTTATCTATACGTATTCAGTACGCTGGCCTTGAAAATTATTTTCGTCATAGGCAAACTCAGTTTTCCTACAGAAACAAGCAATGCTCTACCGTACATGTCCCAGTGCGCAAAACTTTTGGCAAACGGCTTCTTTTGCCACGGTGATCCCCGCGTATACTAATTTCCGTGTCTGTCTGTCTGTGTGTTTGTGTATGTGTGTTCGTGCGCTCCCGCACGGGTTCTCATTGGCGCACGGGGGCGCTGCGGCGACAAGTGGCGGCCACGTGCGGGGCGGCCTGGCCGCATAGCGCACGGGGGCGCTGCAGCGACAAGTGGCGGCCACGTGCGGGGCGGCCTGGCCGCAGGCCAGGCGGCCACGCGGACACGTGTAGAAAGCGGCGGGGCCGTGATTTAATTTCATTTTTTACTACAGTGACAAGTGTACTGTGCGGACGGGGGGCGGCCTGGCCGCAGGCCAGGCCGCCACTGGGACACGTGGCTACCACGGGCACTAATGCGGCACTACAGTAGTTTACGAATTTAAATTTAACACTACAGTAGAGTAAAAATAATAATACAGCCCCGATCCGCCTCGCGTTCGCTAGCGATCCCGGCGCACACCGTCTATGCGAAATCAGTAAGTTACTAACTGTCCTCTTTGCTCCGGCCGGCTTGCCGCCCGCGGTATTAGAGCGCACGCGAACGCTTACTGACATTTGACGGTGTGTGGTTTTTTACGCAGTGTCTACGCAAGAAGAGAGAGAAGAACTACGCCGCGCGCGCCGCGCCGCGACCCCGATCCGCCTCGATTTCGGCGATTCCCCGCCAGCGACCACACGTGTCACAGTCCTACAACCAGCTCCTCCGCGCGCGCCCGCCCCACGTGTACCGCGCGCGCCGCTCCCACGTGTGCCACGGCTCCCACGCGCCCCTGCGCCAGCATCTGCACCACGTGTACCACGCGCTCCGGTCCCACGTGTTATACGTTTGCCCCCGCCTATCATTCCTACATTTCGTGGGCTACGTGTGCCACGTGCAATCGAGCGGCCGCGTGCGCGCGCGTTGCCATCTGCACGTGTGCCACGTGCAATCGAGCGTCCGCGTGCGCGCGCGTTGCCAGCTGTCAGTGCTGTGTTGCGGAGTGTGCCCGTGTACACGTGTGACATCTGCAACTTTCATTGCACGCGCGCGGTACTGTGGGACGGGCATGCGCAAACCGAGGGGCACGTGGCTCAAGTGATTCAAGCGGGCCGCACATTCCGCTGCGAGGTGTGTTTGTGCACGGTGGCAAGTGCCCACGACTTTAGGCGACACCTGGCGGGCAAGAAGCACAAGAGGAAGCTCCAATCGATCACGGGATAGTACAAGATAATAAAGGCCCTACTGTTACTTCTTTTGCTAAGTGCTCTCGCGGACGACCTAGCTGGCTGACGTTGCGTTTAGACCTTTGAGGACTGCTTGCTACGACTCATAGCGATCTACAACGGACCCCTCGCACTTACGTCAACCCTAGCTGCACTTGCTGAGATACCACTAGCGCGCTGGGCATAACACAAATGGCGGGACCAGCAGATGAAGACGTAGCAGAAGCAAGAAGGCAGCAAAGAAACGCGCGTACAAGGGCAAGGAGAGCGCAAGAGTCGGAATCTGAAGCTCAAGCACGTCGTGAGGCAGGTCGAGCTCGGGCGAGAATCCGGAGGGGACAACACACCGATTCTGAGGCTCAAGCGCGTCGCCAAACCGCCCGGGAACGTACTGCAGCACGAAGAGCAGCAGAGACTTCTGAGCAGCGCGAAGAGCGTCTTCGTCGAAACAGGGAGAGAACCAGGGCGCGCAGAGCCGGTCAATCACGGACAGAGGGTCTCAGAGAGTCTCCAAAGCTCCGAGCAGCAACGGAACGTGCCAGAGCCTCGAATCGAGCATCTATGCAACGCACGAGACAGCCTGAGAGCACTCCTGACCGCATAACTCGATTGGAGGCCTCTCGTGTCTCAATGCAACAAAGAAGAGCTGACGCGACAACCCCAGAGAGACATGAGCGTCAAGACTCAAACTGAAGATCCACAGAAGCAGCTAGAGCGGAAGAAAATACCCCCCTCCGAGATGCACGGCGCGAAGCGGATCGCAATGCGACACGAGGAGCTAGAGCCGAGGAAATTACTCCTGCTCGTGAGGCGCGGCGAGACCTTGACCGTCTATCCACCCAACGATCAAGGGATGCACAAGACACACCGACTCGGAATGCCCGGCAACGATCCGACGGCCAGGCTCGAACGGCTTCTCGGCAGTTCTTCCCCCCACTATCCGAATCCTCGCCTTCGTATCGCGATCTCGGCATGGTCCATATTGAGTGTTCGCACTGCAAAGCTCTGCATTTCGTCCAAGAACGCATCGTGAGCAGCTCTGTCGCAAGGCCCATGTTTTCCACATGCTTTGGGAAGGGGAAGCTGTCACTGCCCCTTCTCACCGACCCGCCAGCTCTTCTGCGCTCTCTTCTCATCGATGATACTCCAAGGGCCCGCCGCTTCCGTAAAAACATTCGAGCATACAACTCAGCGCTGTCTATGGCGTCCGTGGTCGCCAAATGGGTGAACAGAGGGCCCGGTACTTCCAATTTTAACCACACAATGACGATGCAGGGCGAGATGTACCATTACATGGGTCCCATGATGCCATCCGAGGGGCGGGCGCCTTCCTTTGCTTCCGTTTACATTCACGACACTGACTACGGTACTCAAACGCGCACAAGGCTTGGCGGAGCCTCTACACGGCTGGAAGACACACTGTTAATGCAACTGACGCACATGCTGCACGAATGCAACCCCTACGTGCAGACTGTTCTCAGTATGCGAGAATGGGCTCAATCCCCTCAACCCAACACTCCAGCCCCGTACCAGATGGTCATCCATGCCGACCGCAGGCCAAGTCATGAGCACGTGCGCCGGTACAATGGTCCCGAAGCTTCTGAAGTCGCCGCATTGATCCCTGGAAATGAAGACGGAGAGATTGGGCGAAGAGATATCGTCGTGCGCAGGCGAGGGACTCTGAACAGTAACGGGAACGAAGTGCTGGATCCGATTTCAGTCAGTCATCGTGCATACGATCCGTTGAGTTACGTGCTTTTGTTCCCGAACGGTAGAGATGGATGGTATCCAGAGCTTCGATTCTCCAGTCATGACGACGGCAGACGTACCAAGATTACTCCGATGATGTACTACGGATGGAATTTGTTCGAAAGATCAGGCGAGTTCAGCACAATCTTGCACGCAGCGCGACTCTTTCAGCAATACTTGGTTGACCAGTTCTGCAAAGTGGAGGCAAAATGGCTTTCGTATCTCCGCCACAACCAGACACAACTTCGAGCCGCCGACTACACCTCACTGCGCGACAGCCTAGGAGACTCCGGTCGTGCTGAAGATGAAGCCGATGCCGTGCGTGCGGGACGACTGTTCATTCTCCCTTCCACGTACATTGGAGGTGACCGCTACATGAGGCAGCAGATGCACGACATCATTGCTATATCGAACCAAATTGGCCACCCGGACATCTTCCTCACTATGACATGCAATCCAAGCTGGCCGGAGATCACAAGAGCCCTACTGCCGAACCAAACGCCTCAGGACAGACCGGACCTGTGCGCACGTGTGTTTCGTCTCAAAATGAAAGATCTCATGTCCTTGGTCATCAACGAAGAAGTATTCGGAACCGTCGTTGCCCATGTACGAGTCATCGAATTTCAGAAACGCGGTCTTCCCCACGCTCACGTTGTATTTTTCCTAGATGAAGTCTCCAAGAATGATCTGCGTACTCCCGAAAACGTCGACCGCATTATCTCTGCCGAGATCCCGTCTGCCAAAGATCCAGAACTCCAAGAGGTCGTGCTCAAGCATATGATTCACAATCCATGTGGAGAACGCAATCCAACAGCCGTGTGCATGGGCGAGCAGTACTGCAGGAAAGGGTTTCCAAAATCGTTCAAACACGAAACCAGCCAGTCCGACAGTGAGTACTACATCACGTACCGAAGAAGGGCACCCTCTGCAGGTGGCGTCTCCATCGAGCGACCCTCCCGTATTGGCCGACGACAGCAATCCGTCGTGTTCGACAACTCCTGGGTCGTTCCCCACAGTCCTCTGCTTCTACGATCATTCGCTTGCCATTTGAATGTGGAACTCTGCGTTTCACGCGTTGGCGGAATCAAGTACCTCTTCAAGTATGTTTGCAAGGGACAAGACCGAGTGACCATGGAAATCACTGCCGAGAACGAGTGCCACGACGAGATCTCCAACTTCCAAGACGCCAGATACGTTTCGGCATCGGAGGCCGCACGGAGGTTATTCTCCTTTGACATTGTAGATCGCAATCCTCCAGTAGTCAGGCTTGCAGTGCATCTGCCCAACCACCATACAGTATACTTTGAGGAAGGGCGAGATCAGGAGGCGGCGCTTCGACCAGCATCAGGTACGAAGCTGACCGAGTGGTTTAAAGCCAACGAGAAGTACCCAAGCGCGAGGCATCTTCGGTACCACAAGTTTCCAAGGTACTTTACGTGGAAGACACGCACCAAGTCATGGAGTCCAAGAGCAACCCTGCGAAGACGGAACGCCACCAGCGAAGAGGAAGCCTACGATTTCAGTGGTACAGGTGTCAACGTAGTCGGTCGAATCTACACTGTCAGTCCGAGGGAGGGTGAGCGCTACTTTCTTCGCCTCCTCCTCACACAAGTGCCAGGTGCGACATCCTTCGAGAACTTGCGAAATATCGACGGCGAGCAGTGCACCAGCTTCCGAAAAGCTTGCTTACTACTCGGTTTGCTGGCCGACGATGCCGAGTGGAAGCACGCAATCCGAGATTCATTCCGGTCAAGCTTCGTTCCTCTTTCTCATCTGTTTGCTACGATTCTGGCACACTGCCAGCCTTCGGACCCTCTCTCGCTGTGGAACGACCACCTGGACATGTTTCTCACCGATATTCGCAATCGTGCACGCAGACAACCCATTCGAAGACAGCAGCTTCGCGATGATCACCACGCCACATCTTACGTGCTTCGAGAGGTACAGGAGGCCTTGCAGATCGTGCGTTCCGACTGGACACTCGCAAACTTCGGACTCCCACTGCCCGATGACAGCCTTCCTGCTTTGGAACAGCAAAACGAGATCGAGACCCCCGAAGCTAGAGCGCAGCAGTGGAAAGAGCGACTACAGACGTCGTTGCCGCTGTTGAACACAAATCAACGTCATGCCTTTGACGAAATAGTGGGCTCCTTGCTTCCAGGCGTATCCGTCTCTGCATTGCTTCAAGGATCCTCAAGCGCCGTGGCGGGACCTTCTATGCCGACACGAAGTGGTCGTCTCTTCTTCCTCTATGCTCCTGGCGGAACAGGCAAAACATTCGTGCTCAGCGCCATTCAAGACTTCCTTCGTACGCGCCGTAAGCAGGTCATCGCTGTCGCTACGTCTGCTACTGCTGCTGTGCTGCTCGACGGTGGACGCACCGCTCATTCCGTGTTCAAGATTCCCATTCCTGTATCTGCCGAAAGCACGTGCAGCTTCTCCGCTAACTCCGACACAGGCCGTACACTGCAACAAGTCGATCTCATCATATGGGACGAGATCGTCATGTGCCATCGACATTGCATTGAGACTGTCAATCGCTCCCTTCGCGACTTGATGCAAACCGACCGGCCCTTCGGAGGAAAGTTCCTTGTGCTCCCTGGAGACTTTAGACAAATCCTTCCCGTCGTTCCGGGCGGGTCCCGAGGTCAAATCGTGAGCGCATGCGTCAAGGCTTCCCCGCTGTATCGAGAGTGCCGATTCCTGCGCCTTACCGAGAACATGCGCCTTGCTGCTCTCCGAGCGGACCCTGCAGAAGATGTGGAGGCTCTCAACTTTCCAGAGTTCCTCCTCAGCGTCGGGGAAGGCAGAATTAACGGCCAACAGCGCCCGGAAGGGATCTCACTTCAACAGTCCGTTGCGTTCGAGCATACCATCCGCAATTCATGCCTCAAGGTCTTCCAAGGCATTCGAGACAATCACGCCGACCCTGCCTGGCTCACTAAGCGCGTTATACTCACCACAAAGAACAGGCCGCTCGAGGAAGTCAACGAGGTCATCGGCAACATGATTCCGGGATCGTATCGAACGTATTTGAGCGCAGACAAGGTCGAGAACGAAGACACCAACGCGCTGATCTATCCCACAGAAATGCTCAACACTTTGACCGCCGGATCTGCTCTACCAGACCACAAGCTCAAGCTCAAGAAAGGCTTCATCGTCATGCTTCTGCGCAATCTCGATCCCGCTACCGGTCACGTCAACGGCGCGCGATATGTCATCGACAACATGACCAACAACCTGCTCTTTCTACACGTTACCACCGGGTCACACCAAGGCAACAGACTGTGTCTTCCTCGAATGCCCTGCAGACCAGGAGACGACAACTTTCCCATCCCTGGCCTCACCCGAACGCAGTTCCCCATTCGCACGTGCTTCGCCCTTACAACGAACAAAGCGCAAGGCCAATCCTTCGGTGGCCGCATTGGTCTCGACTTACGAGATCACTGCTTCTCGCACGGTCAACTCTACGTCGCACTATCAAGGACTACTCACCCAGGGAACGTCACTGTCCTCACTCGAGAGTCCAATTGAACAACGCGAAACATAGTTTACCCCGAGGTCCTTCAGTAGTTACCAAAAAAAGTAGACGCCATTGTCTTTACATCTTTTCATTGCCACCCTTCCCAAATAGTGTTCCTCCACGCTTTCTTGGCTCGGCGCGCGAAGCGCGCACGGAGCCCACTTGTCACTACCTAAACGTAATGCACAAAGTGTAATCAACAGTGCACCTTACACGGTCGAAGCCGGGTCTGAGTCAGGTTCAGAAAAGAGCTTACCAGGGTATACAGAATGGAACGGGTTTCCTGCACTGATGGTATATATTTTACTGTGTCCTACCGCTCACAGAGGTTTGGCTGCCTCACCCCGGTCGTCGTGATTTCCTTTTGGGGTGGGCGGAATCAATTTCAAATGCTGTCAATTGGAGCGGTTAATCTTTTGCTCAACGTCACCATTCTGGCTGTACTTCTGTTTGCTGAAGCGCTGATCGGGAGTACCCTTCTGAATTTTGCCACTTCGCGTCTCATCACTACCGGCAGTGCTCCCGTCGTTCATGAAACTGATACGCATCTACCGTTTGTGCCATTATCTGTCATCAAATACCGCAAACATCCGGGTATGTCCGCCATGCTCCTATCCTGAGTGTACAGGAAGAGTCCTACTCTCTGTTTACTAAATCGTTCCCCCCATCTTACCTTCCTCAGCAATACTATGCACGATTTTGATGTCTGTTTTTCTTGTGGCGTCCGGGCTTTATTCTGATATTGGCGTTGATGTCTCACCCAAGTGTCAGACGCAAAAAGATCACGGTCAGATTATGAACATGACTTCAGATTACTACGCGGGGCTGAGTTCCACGATCTTGGTGTCTGCCTTAACTGCCTTCAGCATTATAGGGAATGTGAATTTTACCGAAGGGGAGTTGGAGCGTGTTCAAGTTGGATTCCCTCGTCACCTGCGTGCAGACACTTGTTTTTCTTGCGTGCCTCGTGAAAACACAGTCATAGTCGACAAGTGCTCGATTCGAAATTGGAAGAGATATGAACCTGGGGAGCTCGATGTTGGAGTTGTTTATGAAGAGCAATATCCGTTTACGACCGTGGCAGGGTTTCGAGAAACCACAGAGAATCCACGTGAATTTTTCGGACCTGGAGATGTAGTGAACAACAATGACATGGCATCTTCATTCTTATTCAGCGTCAGTGCGGACAAGGAGATAGTCCATTATCTCGAATACAACGAAAAGAGACACATATCAGAATTGAGAGAGAGCAATTAAGTCCCCTGGAAATCTAGTCAGTGCTTTGACAAGAACAAGTGTATCTGTGAAGAATATTTCGTGCGAACACAACTTGTTGGATGCCAAAATTGTTGCGCTCATTTACAGAAACTACAGAACGAGTCAACTTGAGCAGTTGTTTCTACCGCCGAGTTTTAACGAGAGCTCCATGGAGTTTAGCATTGCTTTCACTGCAGGCTCTGTCTATCGAGCCATTTATGCAGCGCTAGCAATACAGAGTGATCGAGAGGAAGGAGAATTTTATGTGTACAAGGAGTGCGGTCGATATCGGTGGAACTTCCTTATCCCAATAGGAGTGTGTGTTTGTATAACTGTTGTGCTGTGGTTGGTATCATATACATACATTCGTAGAAGTTGGAAATATGGAGGGGTGAGCAAGGACATGCAGCAGTGGCATCGTCTGGCGCAATTTCTGCAACAACGGAGTGCTTGTTGGACAGCTTCCGACGATGTGCCGGAGGATTGGAGCACATGCAGGCCACTCTTTGATGAGGCGCAGTTGCTAGATAGCGAGGAGGGAGGGCCTGAGGGTTGCCAGCTAGTGGTTCGGCAAAGATTGAAGCATGCGGGACAAGTGCACGTGTCCACGTGTGCGAGATTAAAGAGTGGGGTGTTGGTAGACTTTAGTTGTCGGAAAACCTCTATGACCAGGTTTTTCCTTCTTGAGTCAGGTCTGTTTCTGACGCAGGCGCACTGGAGCCTGAGTCGTTCCTAGCTCGGAACGCGAATCGGGTGAAGACGTAGGTACGGAGTCCGCGCAGGAGGGCTCCGCCAATGTAGCAGTAAAGCTTCAGTTGTTTATTCGTGATCGTCTTGGCCGAGACTTCTCAATGCGCGGTAGTCGCAGGTGGCAAAGTACTCGAGCACTACAGTTCGAGTACTGTCTGTTCCCAACTGACAGTCTTTCGCTGTACTCTGTCCCAATTGCGACACTAAAGTCCCCGACATTTGGTCTTCTCTAGCTTCCTCCTTTCTTACCAACCCGTACGATGTATACTGCATTGAATCAGAGATTCACTCTACAATAGATCACCTGACCAGGAGCGTCCGTGATGCCATCGTACAACATCACACCTCCAGAGTGCTCCTGTCTTTCGACATTAGTGTAAATAGGAAATTACACAGCGGACGAAACAATTTGGGTGAAATCCATTGTGGTGCGTGAAAGACTGCGAAAAGGCCTCATAAAAGCGTTGAGTTTGGCTTTGAGCCCGTTGCTGTCCATTTGGGTCATTGTGGTGTGTTCAGGACCACATCAGGACCAATGATAGCAACCTGGGCCGGACCGGCCGGGCCGGTCCCGGCACCAGTCAATCATGCGCCGGGGCAAAGGCCATTGTTGTCACTTCATGATTTATAATTTTCATTATTATCGCGTTATTATTATTTAAGTCTAATATAGGCCAGTTTGCGCGCAGGGGGGTGGCCGATGCGTGGGTAAGCGACCGGGACGCCGGCGGCCACAGTGATCCCGCGCTGTAAGTGCGATATGGAGTGAGCGAGTTTACACGCAGTTACTGGCACTTGTAGTACAACGGCGCAAAGGCAACGGCGCCACCGCTGCCGCCCCGGGATACAGTACCATGGGCTGTAAGCGTGAGAAGAACTGTAAGGAGTTATATTTACAGCACACAGCCGGTGCGGAGTACAGTAGTACCCCGCTGGTTACACGTGTAGGATCCGAACGGTAAGTAATTAGTAATTAATGGCGCAAATTAGCCAATTTAGCACAGTAGCTGGTATACAGTAAGTAACAGCTACTGTAGCGGGACAGGTGTCCTAGCGTCCCACTTAGGGGTTAAGACCGGGGGCACCTGCCCCGTTCCAGTAAACGGGAGGCAGACTCGCCTCCCTTCCCTTTACGGCTTTTTTCTAACTCCGTCCGGTTTTACCTGTAAGTCTCAGGCTTCTAACCCGTGACCGGCCGTCCGGATCTAACACCACCGACCGGCTGGGCGTCACCGGCCACGTGAGCCTTCCCTCTTTTCGAGTCCTTCCGTACGGTTTGCGCTCGCGTGGGTTACCCAGCGGCGCGCGCTCCCTTACCTCTAACCCCCCTCGTTCCGAGTGGTCGGGACGAAGGTAGTTATACCACATTTTGGTACTCTTGTGGAGGGTATAACTACAGAGGTTGAGCCCGCACTGGATCACCAGCGCGAGCAATTACCGATCGGATTGAAAGAGGTCGAAAATCACCGCGTCGATCGCCAGTGATCATCGACGATGAACCGTGCGGATTCCGCCGGAGAAGATACCGCCTCCGGGCGACCAAGTACCCGCAGTGGCAGGGGCGCACAGCGCCCCCGGATCGACAATCCGGAAGCCCTGCTACGCCCGCCGTCTACCAGGGGCCAGAAGACCCCTTCCGTTTCGGACACCACCGCCGGGCTACCGGCTGGTGGGGGGAACCGCGTACAAGTACTGTACGACGCGTTACTCCCGCGATTACAAACCTGGATGGAAAATTTCTTCGCTGAGGAACTACGTCAGGTCGTCCAGGTTTGCCTCGACCGAACGGCACCAAGACTGGTGGCGGAGCATGCGGACACCGCGCTCCGCGCCCTGCTGGACGAGAAGATCGCCCCCCTCGTACGCGACGAGGTGGTGGCAGCGCTCGCCGCGGAGGAGGACGAATCTCCGACCGCATTGGCTCTAAAGGGAGCTATTAGCTCCGCCGTGGCCACCCGTCTGGCCACGACATTTACCGAAACGGGAGGCGCGGTACCGCCGCCGGCGCCGCGCCGTGAAACCGTTCCGGGCTCAAGCTTTAATATCGCTGATCCGATCGGCGCCGTACCCGGGATTGATAGGATGGACCCTCACCCGGAGGGCAGAGCCATCTATCTCCCAACCGTTCACGGTGCTACAGGGAGGACCACAGAAAATGTCCTCCCCATACTCGCCGGTACGGGCGGCCCCCGCGGGACAGACAACCGCCTGGGGCTCCCCGAGACAGAGAATCGGGACCCGTACCGGTTGAGCAGAAGACGTGCCCCCGGCACGCACAAGACCGAAGCGGAATACACCCGGTATTCCGAGGCAGAAGACCCCCGTCACAGGACGGATGAAGACCGCGAGGAACGCCGCTGGCGATACCGCGATAACCGCGCGGCACGCCACGGGCGATACCGCGATGCCGGAGGGGGAGGATACCCCTCCGATGATGACCCATCCGGTTCGGAAGACTCTCGCAGGCGGGGCCACAGGGCACGCCGCGATAGAAGCCGAGACCGACACCGGCACGACCCGTCCGACTCGGAAGACTACCACACCGAGTTGGATGAGGGGCTTCGTCGCTCGAGCAGACGCCGCCGGGCTGCCCCGACGAGAGACGAGCGACGGCCCACGGTAATAAGGCCCCTCAATGACCTGTTTACCAAGGCCGTCAACTACAAGACCTACCGCCTGGAACGGCGTAGCTCGCGCTACGACTCCACAGTAGCGCGGCACATTAACCGTTACCGGAAAACACTGGACGTGCAGATGAGGTCCCACACGTTCAGCGGTCAAGATCCGATTGCAGTATTGGGATTCCTCGCACGCCTCAAGATGGCGTGCGACCACAACGGGATCACCGAGGGAGCCGCCGTGTGGTGCTTCCAGTTCTACCTCACCGGTCAGGCTCACGCCCTACTCCAGTCCCGTCTCAATGGAAGTACCATGGCGGTTGACGTGGAGCGGCGCGAACTGCTCAGGACGTACCCGCAGGTCGCCAACTTTTTGTTGCGTACCT